TTGGAAGTCGGTAATCACTGTTTTGTCTTCTCAAATCAGATTTCGGTAAATCGAATGATATTTCGATTTCACAGTATGTTCTTGATTAATATAATATGCACATTATCGGTGTAATATCTCCTACACACATCATAAACAGTAAAATTTCGATTGAAAAATAGATTTTAAGAAAATTCGTATAACAATAACCTGATTATCTTTAGTAATCCTCAAAGATCTTGATTTTAGATGGTAGATCACTTTGGAAACAACTAAATATTTGAACTGTTATGAAATATTGAACTACAAATATATTTTTCCTTATTATGTTGCATTAAAACTATGAATTTGTAAAGTATTTATAAAATGATGTACTTGAATTTTGATTAGCCATTAAAGGAAAGAAAATAAGCACATAGAAAATGAAATTTCAACGTGAGAATAATTTTGAGGTCTACTATTCAAAGATCTAGTGCATCTTGGTGCAAGCAAAAAGAGAAATTCCGAAGAACTCTGTTCACTACTGGTTCTCAAGGTAGTACCGAGAACCGGACAAGAACCGATTGGTTCTCGATGCATTGTACCAAAATCGACCCTTTAGCAGAGGAATCAGAATTGAACTGACCGGTTCTGTTTGGTTCGGTCCGATTCCACCTGTTTCGAGAAAAAATGTCCACCCTTACATTTTCTATCAAAATATTATTCCAAAATACATTTTGAACAAAAAAAGAGGCTCAAACATCTTCTTAACTAATCTTTGTTCTTAAATCCCTGTTTGATAAGAATTCTTTAAAAAGGAATTCATAATCAAATATTTTTTACTACATATTTTCTAAAATTACTCTCCATTTTTAATCATTTAAAAAAAATCAATTTTTTCAAAAGTGATTGTCAAAAAATCTACATATGTCCTCAATTCGGCCTTCATTTTTGGACCCTACTAGATGGCCAGGGCCACATCTAGTTTTTCTCTTCATTATTTAAAATTTATTCTCCTGAGAATGAGCGTGGTTTAATTTAGTTCGATTTCACTCGGTTTGCAATTGAATGAAACCAAATTGAGTGCCAATGAAAATCTAACAAATGAAACAATTGGTTCCATATCTAACTATTTAACCGAACCAACAGATTTCGATTCGGTCCAATATGGTTCTTTATATTAAAAAATTATAAAAATAAAGTATGAAACTATTTGTCATTCTTTTAATGTAACAATACAAAAAATCAATTGAACAAAGCAACAAACAAAAACTCACTCCAAAGCTGAAGATCAATTCATAAAGGAGAAAAAAGATAAACTATTAAACGCATCATAAACGGTAAAATTTCGACTGAAAAATATTTTTTTAAGAAAATCTGTATAACAATAGCTTCTTTACCTCTAGTAATCCTCAAATATCTTTATTTTTTTTTTATGGTAGGTCACTTTGGAAACATCGAAAATTTTGAACTCTTATGAAATATTGAACTACAAATATATTTTTCCCTATTATGTTGTATTAAAACTATGAATTTGTAATAGCAAAAAAAAGAATAACTATGAATTTGTAAAATTTTTATAAAATTATGTACTTGAATTTTGATTGCGCATTCAACGAAATAAGATAAGCATATGGAAAATGAAATTTCAACGTGAGAATAATTTTGAGGTCTAGTATTCAAAGATTTAATACATCTTTGTGCAAGCAAAAATATAAATTCGGGATAACCGAGTTCATTTCTGTTTCTCAAGTCAGTATCGAGAACTGGACTAGAATCGATTGATTCTCGATACATTCTCCCAAAATCGACCCTTTAGTAGAGGAATGGAAATCGACCTGACCAGTTCTATTTGGTTCCGTCCACTTCCACCTGTTCCGAGAAAAAACGCATACTCCTACATTCTCCATCAAAATACTATTCCAAATTACATTTTGAACAAAAAAAGGTGCTCAAACATGTTCTTAACTAGTCCTTGTCCCTAAATCCCTGTTTGATAAGAATTCTTTAAAAAAATAATTTATAATCAATTTCATTTTTACTACATATTTTCTAAAATTAATCTCCATTTTTAATCATTTTTTTAATTAAATATCAATTTTTACAAAATAGATTCTCAAAATATCTACATATGTCCTAAATTCCTGTCGACCTTTGTTTTTGGATTCCACTAGATGGCCAGGGCCACATCTAGTTTTTCCCTTCATTTTTTTAAAACTAGTGTAGGCACGTGCAACGTGCTACAGTTTAGTTGAGTATTTAATAGCGTGTAATGATTTTAAAGTATTTTCCTTTTAGCTAAAAAAAATCCTGATGTCATCAGTTATAGTGCATGTATACATGTTAAACATCCAAACACACTGAAACAAGAAGAGAATCCATTAGGAAGGGGAAAAATGAATTGACAAATTTAATGCGGTAATTACATCAGTAAATCAATTCTCATTTTCAACCACACATTCTTCAATAAAATAATATTTTTCATCACATCAATAATTTTTTCTTCTTTTTCAACCACACATTTCCCATCATATCACTATTTAAAATCAATTCTTCTCCCAAAAATCTCTCCCAAACAAGTTAACTTATTTTCAATTACATATTTTATGAGACTTATAACTTTTATTAACTTTTCGATCATAAATTTTATCAATTTTCATTAAGCTCTGTTTGACGACAATTATTTTAAGATTCTTTAATTTTCATACTCATTTTGAACCACGCATTTATGCAATAAAATATTTTATTCGTAAATTCAAATTTTTTTCTATTTTTTTAACCATATATTCTCTTAAAAATTATTATTCAAAACTCTATTTTCTCAAAATAATAGCCATAAGACATGCTATTTTTTAACTAAACAAAATATGGGCTAATTGATAAGTATATTTTGATGAGTTATCTGGATACTTAAATGAGATTAATTGTAATAAATTTTGTAAACTTATGATTTAATTAGATATCAATTTTATTTGTTAGGTAAAACTAGAGACAAATGAGTGGAATTGGAAGAAATGAACAAAAATGAAAGCAATTCAAAGTTCGAGATCAAATTGAAAATGTTCAATAGTTGATTCGGGCCCCAAAATAATAAGTAAAATTTGTTATTAATCAATTGGATGCAATTAAAAGTAAAAACTAAGTGAAATTTTCACAAATCAACTTCCAACCGCACAAAGTATGTCCCAGATTTTTAGTCGGAGATTGAGACCCACTTTTCAAATAGTACATGTTGGAATTGGAGAAATTTTACTTCTAGAAGAATTTTAGTTTTCCAACGTTCTTTGAATCACCTCAATCGGATATCAAAAGAGAAAATTATGACTAAAATACCGACTATTGCTCAGATAAATAATCATGAGCGAGCAAAGGTAACTTTTTTTACTTGATTGAAACTCTTTTAGAACCCAACTTTGACGTTTTTTTGACATAATTTCACCTTATACAATACAAGACATGGGCCGCCATTAAAGGTTCTCTCTCACGTCTCAAATCACTTCCATATCATAAAATTATTCAAGAATGAGGGACAAATTCATCATAAGTTGTAGAGGAGAACAAATCCAACACGTGAATTTAATTAAAAAAATCAAGAACTTGAAGAATCAAAACTCGGGGTGAATAATCAAGAACACTAATTAGAATGTGACATCTCTTTCTTATATTTATAAATTCAGGTGATGATTTTCCATTCTTCTTATTGTTTTATTATTTAAAACATATTTAGCTCGATTATTTGTATTTGATGAAGATGAACATGTTATTTATTTATTTTAATTCAAACTAGTAGTTTAATAATTCTTTTTTTCTTGATTAATTTTGTGTTTTCATTATATTATTTAATTGTTTGACCATCAATCAATCAGATGATTAGTTGCTTATAGTGTTGATGACTCACAATAAGTTGAGAACTCGACAAAATTAACATATGCGGAATAAATGTTAGGAATAATATTTATCACTTGTTCAATTATATTGATAATCTAAATTTTGATGTATTCTAATTGTTCGAATTTGAATTAGGAATAGATTCGGGTTGTGATTAGAATATAATTAATTTGTCCTGCAAAAGAAAATTATATATTATAATTTTGTCGGTTGTCAAGAACACATGAATGAAATTAAATTACAAATCGAGAATTGAAATAGATGACAATAGGCTGACTCTAAATCCAATACATTGATCGATAATTTCATAAAAATCAAACTTTTAAAGCTTTCTTAGACAAATTAGAATAATTACAAATCAAAATATCTTTTATATTACATAATTCGAATTTTATACTAAATTAGTAAACTTGAATTGAAATTTATAATCAATGGGACGATACATACTCTAACTCATTAAATTTATTACTTATAAATAATTACATACACGGTTCACATGAATACTAATTAATTAGAGTTTTGCTAATTATACTGGCTTGTGAGCTGCACCCGAGTAGCAAAACGCAACTAATTATTACAGATTTTTCATTTGTACTGTGATGACTCCAACGCCCAATTTTTGGCCTACTCCCAAGACTCCACCATTCTATTCATCATAGCAGTCTCTTTTCACTTTTTCCTTTCATTCAAAATCTCTATAATACCACAGTATTTTCAGGAAAGTTAAAAAAATAAATAAAGTAAAACTACAGGAGAAACTGCAAAGAAGCACCCGTGGGAATGGGAATGGGTGTTTGGATTTTGTTATTTTCAATTGTTTCCCTTATGAGCAAGTTGTCTCTTGCTCTTTCTCCAGATGGTATGCAGCTTTGTCTCTTTTTACCTTTTAATTTATTTTTATACTAATTTTTTCAGATGGAATATCTTGTTTTCTTTTTCTTTTTTATTTTTTAGGAGTGGCATTGTTGGAACTAAAGAGCAGTTTGAATGACAGTAAGAACTTGTTGAGTAACTGGATAGATTCTGATACATCTCCATGTCACTGGACTGGTATTTCTTGCAGCCCTCAGGACCACAGGGTTATATCTATGTATGTCAACTATTTGTTGTTTAAATTAATATTTTATTTTAAAATCTGAATCTTGCTTAAGATCTTGATTTGATGATGTTTTAGAAACTTGCCTTACATGGAACTTGGAGGAAATGTATCCCCCAGCATTGGTAGACTAAATAGATTGCAAAGACTGTAAGTTAACCAACCCCCCACCCAACCCCCATATTCATTGGAGTTGAGTTCTGGGCTAAATGTTTTTTGACACCTTTTTTTTTTTAATTATTTGTATTTAGGGCACTTCACCAGAACAGCCTCCATGGTTTTATTCCAAATGATATTGCCAAATGTTCTGAACTGAGAGCCCTGTAAGTGAAAATAGCTATTCCTTATTGACTTGTTTGGTAAGAAGAATTAGATAGTATAGCACAGAACTGAGAAAGAAAAATAAGCTAAAATCATATTTGTAGATAGTGTCTAGGCCTAACCAGCCTCGAGAGAAAAGATGCACTATTCATTTTGGGGATTCTGTATTTTGACTGTTCTATTTGTACTCCATAAAAATTGTAAAATGCAGGTACTTGAGGGCTAACTATTTTCAAGGAGGCATACCATCAGATATTGGAAACCTTTCTCAATTAACCATATTGTGAGATACTCAAGTAATTCTTGACTTTTTGAGAAAGCCATTCTTCATTTATTTTCTCTATCAATGAATATGAGATTGTTGTTACCTAGGGATTTGTCAAGCAATTCACTCAAGGGTGCTATACCTTCTTCACTCTGTCGTCTAAAACATCTACGATATTTGTGAGTTTGATTCAAATTAAACATTGTGTCCATTTTTTCATTATGTATAAAATTGTTTCATATGTATTCTTGCTCATGCACTTGATCTCATTTCTTCAGAAATTTGTCTACAAATTTCTTGTCGGGTGAAATTCCAGATTTCGGAACTCTAAGCACATTTGGCAGCAATTTGATGGGGAAAGAATGCATTTTGGAATCGCATTTTGATGGAGAATGTGTGGTTAAAAAATAAAGAAAAATTTTAGGTTTATGTGTAATAATATTTTATTGAAGAATATGTGTAGAAAGTAAGAGAGAAAAAAATGTATTTTGGAAATAATGGGGACCAAACAAGGGCTTAATCTTAAGCCCTTGTTTGAGCCACATTCTACAAAGTTAGAAACATAAATTTTCCAAATTTCTGAGAAAAATGAGTTGATAAACTTTGCTTTTGAAACGTTAATAATAATTTCTTAATTCATATATTTCAAGAAATTGGTTTACATTTAAGAGGGCAAGAACTAAGTAGTAGATTAATGTTTAGATTTAACTAAAATAGTCTGCAGCCTTTTGAGAAATCATTATTCAACCTGTACAATTGAAGTTGGCAATGACTTGAGTAATGATGAATGCACTTTTTTATCATCACTACAATTATGCATAGGTTTGGATGATTCACATACATGGTTTACTACAATAATTTATTTTGCCACATCTGTTCACGTAAAGATATAACTGTATATGCTGGTATCGTATGCTGGAAAGTTGTGCAAACTTTACACGAGATAGACAATTTTACTAAAGTTGAATATGCATAGCATTGGTATTTGAATCCCCCTCTTCCAATCTATACTTCCAATTTAAAGAAAATGGTAAAATTAGAACCCTTAAAGGGCCTCTATCCCTGCACTAATGTATGAAATTTTACACGTAATTTATTTACATCTATATTGCACGGACATTTTAACTAGGGTAACTTGTCCAACATGCATTTCGGATACCGACTCTCCTTAAACACTCTACCATGATCATTTTTCTTTTTTTCAATTGGAAATATTATATATTTTAACTCAAAGTTATTAATAAATAATCAATTTGTACTCATATTTAAAAGATTTCAACAAGAAACATTAATGACAAATATAAAACTAAATTTATACTATATAATTTAATCAACATGTCGGCAACGTGCTGTGTTAATACTTTTTTTAGGCGTATCCGACGCTTGTCTGTCTGTGCATCGTAGATTTACATCAATCTTCTCTTTTTCTAAACAGAGATGATATCAATAGATCTATCCTTGTGTTTTTATAAAAAGAGGTTTAACATCTTCAAAAGCTATTTTGAAAAGGCTGCTATTATGCCAGGTTTATTGGTAATTTAGATCTTTGTGGCCAACAAGTAAGCAAGGCTTGTCGAACTTCACTAGGATTCCCTGCTGTGTTGCCTCATGTTGAAAGCGATCAAGCTGCAGGAATTTGTTCAGACATTAAGCTCTTGTTTGATTCTCATTTTTTGCAAAATATATTTCTCTTTTCTTTTCACATATTTTTCAATGAAATAATATTACACGTAAATTCAAAATTTTTCTTTATTTTTTAACCACACATTCCCCGTCAATCTATTATTCCAAAATGCATTCTTAACCTTTTAATGGTACTCAAACAGGCTTTAAATATTGAAAATTTAACCCCTATTTGACAACCATTATTTTAAAACTCTTTATTCTACATACTCATTTTTAACCATACATTCATATAATAAAATATTTTGCACGTAAATCCAAAACTTTCCCTTATTTTTAATCACACAGTCTCCTAAAATTCACTATTCAAAACTTTATTTTTGCCAAATAATGGCCATCAAATAGGAGCTTAGTAGGATTCGGTCCTTGCGTTGCTATCCAATCAATGCCGTCCTTTCCAAGTAATTGAAAATTTTAAACTCTTCTAAACTGCTGTGTTGCTACAGTACCCTCTAAGAGGTCATCCCGCTATATCAAAGGAGCAGTAATTGGTGCAATGTCCACATTGGGTTTTGCATTTATTTTGCTCCTTGTTTTTCTGTGGATACGGTTGCTGACCAAGAAAGAAAGGGCTGCAAAAAGATACACAGAAGTAAAGAAACAAGTTCATCAACAACCAAGTAACCTTGATGTGTTTTCAAGTCTTTCAACTTTCTTAATCATTTCTACTTTTAAGGTTCATAATTTTTTAAATAATTTTTCAGGTGCCAAGCTCATCACATTTCATGGCGATCTTCCATATCCTTCTTGTGAACTGGTAGAAAAGATTGAATCCCTTAACGAGGAGGATGTTGTTGGGGCTGGAGGATTTGGTACTGTATATAGAATGGTTATGAATGATTGTGGGACGTTTGCTGTTAAGAAGATTGACTGGAGTCGTGAAGGTTGTGATGAAGCCTTTGAGAGAGAGTTGGAGATCTTGGGTAGCATCAAGCACATAAATCTTGTCAATCTTAGAGGATACTGCAAGCTTCCCACGGCCAAGCTTCTTATCTATGATTACTTAGCTATGGGCAGCTTGGATGATTTATTGCATGGTACATTTCTTCTTGGTCTACTAAGTCGTTTTTTTTTTTGGGCAAAATACTAAGGTTGAATCTTTATTACCTGCTTCTAATGTTGGAATATTCCAATATCAGATGCTTCTTCTAGATCATTCTCCTATTTTTTATGTAGTTAGTTTGTTAGAAATTTACAATATAAATAGAGCAATGTATTCACATTATTACTTGAGCTTGATGATTAATAAAATATTCTTCCTCTCAAGTCCTTCAATATGTTTTCATATTGAATCTATCTTTTAATTTCTTAATATGGTATCAGAGCGAAATGCTCCTTTCGTTTGCAACTCTGTCACTTTCTTCCGCCTTCTCAACTCTGGAATGAAGAAATCTGTCAATGGCTTCCAGTTCCACCTTGCTGGAGTCCGAGAGAAAGGCGAGAGGCATGGAAATTGCACTGGAGTTTTTACTATCTGTCCTTCCTGGAGTTTGTTTAGCATTTTCAGTTTTTCTTTTACTCATCAATGTTGATGATGTTTGTCTTCAGCAAATGCCCGGTTTCAGAGCCATGGATGCTCACTTATTCCGGTTGAATTATGTTGCTGTTTTTCTCTAATATTCTGATCAGAGTTTGATATGCTTCAACATGGCCAACCTCACCAGTTGCCTGTAAAGCACGTCTAATAACAGAATAGATTAGCTTGACTAGATCTTTATTGGATCCATCAACAAAGCATGATGCAAGATCTAGAATCTGACACCTATTCGCATTTTTTTTTATTGAAGTTGCATCACTGTCTTCTACATCTGCTGAGCCATTAGTCTCAGACTCCAGTTTTCCACGTTCACAGATATCTTCTACGAGCTGAAATTTCTCAAGTGAAGCAATAAAGATTTGTGTTGTTACTGAAGAATCAGTTATGGATGCAAAGCATTCAATTGCGCCCATGGAAATTACTTTGCGATACGGTCCATCAGAGGTAGCATTTGACGAGTTCCTCAATTCAGAATTTATCCAACGGCTTCTCTTGCATCTTTGCTCTTCTCTCTACAATTCAAGGATGTTCCATCTTGAGTGGGGAATGTTGAAATATTCCAATATCATATGTTTCTTTTAGATCCTTTTCCTATTTGTTATGTAGTTAGTTTGTTAGAAATTTACTCTATAGAGCAATGTATTCACATTATTATTTGAGCTTGATGATTTATAAAATGTTCTTCCTCTCAAGTTCCTTCAATATGTTTTCATATTGAACCTATCCTTTAATTTCTTAATATCTAAATGCTTATTCTCTTATTATGAATTTAGTGTTTTGTTTCCTATTAGCTTACCAATTCAGTAATCTGTTCATCAGAACGTGTAGATGATTGGACCTTGAATTGGAAAGCTCGTTTAAGAATAGCTTTTGGATCTGCTAAGGGATTGGCATACCTACACCATGACTGCTGTCCAAAGATTGTTCATCGTGATATAAAATCTAGCAACATACTCCTTGATGAGAACCTTGAGCCTCGCGTTTCAGACTTTGGCCTTGCCAAACTATTGGTTGATGAGGATGCTCATGTCACAACTGTAGTTGCAGGCACATTTGGCTATTTGGCTCCAGGTTTGTTCTTCAACTTATTACGAACATTTTTAGTCTTGATCACTGGTATTAATAAATTCCATCATAATTTGAATGTAGTACATTTTAGTGCTCAAGAGGTTTGGGTTAATGTCAATTGCTGCTATTATTATGGCTTTGAAAATCAGCAATTCCGAGGCTTTAACCCCACACCATCAACATCAATTAATCGCGATTAAGACGAGTCTATTGGCATATAATAGTAAACTTCCTATTATTGCATATACTCTATCGGAATGCAGTTTTAGAAATTTGGGAGATTGTTGTTACTCTTGTTGTAAAGATGCATACAAGCAACAAAACCCTGCTACTTCTTTCTCACCTGTGACAATTTCCAAGAATCATGCGAATAAAACTGACCAAGATTTTTGTTCTTTAAAATGACGCAGAATACTTGCAGAGTGGAAGAGCAACTGAGAAGTCAGATGTATATAGCTTTGGGGTTCTACTGTTAGAACTTGTAACTGGAAAGAGACCGACTGATCCATCTTTTGTAAAACGAGGACTAAATGTCGTTGGTTGGGTATGCTCTTCTCGAACTTGAAGCTGTATCACTTTCAATTATATATCTAAGCTTCACCTATTACGTACTTACAACAAATAACATCATTTGCAGATGAATACTGTACTGAAGGAGAATTGGATGGAGGATGTCGTGGACAAAAAATGTCGGAATGCTGATGTGGAGACTGTAGAAGCAATTGTAGAAATAGCAACAAGATGCGCCGATGCAAATCCGGACAATCGTCCTACAATGGAACAAGTACTTCAATTTTTGGAGCAAGAGGTCATGTTGCCTTGCCCTAGTGACTTCTACGAGTCTCATTCAGATAAATCTTGATATGTATCTTGACATCCGCCACCTTTTTGATACTGTCCCTATCCCTGATTGTCCCATCTGTGGGATTGTATATTTTACTTTCATGCAAATTGTAAATGAGTGAATTCTACTGTGCGAATGGTGTATATATCCACCTTATTTATTTGAGCATTTTCATCTGGGAGTTTACTATTGTCATGCCTGGGTTATGCTCAAACTCCGGTTGAATTTCAGAATTATCAATTGGGAATTGAGTCGAGTGACACGAATGGCGTGGCTGGTAAGCCTGGAACATGATTGACGAAGTAAGACTACATCTTTTCGGCATAATAGCTGCCACAGATTTTAATTTCCTCACCTAGATCTAGGCAGCTTGCTCGTCAAAATTTTAAATTCTCCAAGTAGCATGCCATCTCTTGCTGCAAAAGTCGAAAAGAAAAAATTAATAAGCATCAACCAAGATTCAGAATTATTATTATCATATTAATACTACACACGATGAAAGCTTTAGAATTGATAATGAGATAATGAAGGCAAGATGAATTTAAATTACCAGTAAACAGAGGTACTGCATCCAGCAGCACCAGGGAACAAAGAGTACCAAAAGTTCATGATGAAGCTCAACTCCATCAATGAACAGTAATGGCAAGCCTGCTGTTCGTGCAAAATTCGCAAGTGTACGAGACTGTTGTCAAGTAATAGAATTGATGGGTTGAGAGTATCGTCCCACAATGAATAAATTTAATTTAAGTTTACAAACTTTTTATAGGATTTGAATTATGTAAACAAAAGAGAGGTTGATTTTATTTTATATTTAATTAATCTAAGAAAGCTATAAAAATGTGATTTTTATCAATTTAATAATGATTGTATTGGATCTCGAATCCGCATATTGCTATCTAGTCCAGTTCTTGATTTGTAATTTAACTTTGTTCATGCATTTTTGACAATCGATAAAATTATGATATATAATTTTCTTTTTCAGGACAAATTAAATATATCCTAACCACGACCCGAATATATTCCTAACCCGAATTCGAATGATTAGAATGCATTAAAGTTTAAATTATCTATATGATTGCACATATGATAAATGTTATTCTTAACATCTATTGCACATATGTAAATTTTGTCGCGTTCTATATTTATTGTGAATCTCTCAATACTACAACAAACAACTAATTATCTAATTGGTGGCCAATCAATTACATAATGCAATAGGTATGCAAAATAAACCAAGAAACACAAGAAATAAATTAAATTACTAGTATTGAATTAAAATAATAACAAATAGGGTTCATCTTCATCCAATAAAAAAAGGATCTAGCCTTACTCGTTCTCTATTTATAAGAGCCAAAAAATACGTCAAAATCGCGTCCAATTTGATTTTCAAAAGAGTTTGGATTGCGAAAAGAAACTAAAGATTAGTCTGTGAAAAGGCCTGCGCGCGCGTGCCATAGAACCAAATGGCTCTTGGGTTGGGGAAAATAGGGTGCCCCGTGCATGCCATAAATTGTCCGCACACGCAGGTTCGTCTCTGAGCAGTTTTTGGTATTTTAGTTGTAACTTTCTCTACATGTATTCAATTGAGCTGATTCCAAATGAGTTGGAAATGTAATTCAAAGGATACAATTCTTCTAGAAATATAATATTTCCAATTCGAACGTTTTCTATCCGAAAAATGGATTTCAAGTTGAGGCTAAAAACCCATAGCATAACTCCTTCGGCCAAAACTGATTTGTAAAAATACTTTCACTATATTTCACTCATTTGACCTCCAATTGCATCCAATTGATCCTATATGATCTTCAATCATCGTTTTGTGCTTCGAATCAACTATTGGATGTTTACACTTTGGTCCCCAAACTTTGAATTTCTTTCGTTTTCGCACGTTTTTCACTTCTTTCTTCCAAATCCACCAATTTGCATTAAGTTCAACATAACAAACATAATTAACACAAAATTAAGCTATAACTCATCCAAATCATAAACAAATACTCTAATTTAATGGCCTAGATGAGTGTACAAAATGCACTTATCAAACACCCCCAAACTTGAACATTTGTTAGTTCTCAAACAAAATTATAATCTAACTTAATCAAAAATTTTAAACACACGTATAGTTAGATAACTTGCCTTTTTCTCAAGATTGAAATATATTTATTAAAACTATGAACTGCTACAAAATTACAATGCTAAAATTAATTTCTTATCCATTGCAAAATCAACGCTCGTGTGTGAAAATTCATGTCAAGCATCATAGATTCATTAAGTCATTCAAATCCTGACCCTTTATGGCCAAATGTTTCCCTTCTTCACTCTTAAGATACACACCCCCAAATTACATTTTTTTCACTCTTTCCCCAATATATGATATAATGTTGCATTTTTAATATAATACTAATCCTCACCCTCTCTAGTTTGGTTCGTTTTACTAATTGCAGTTCAACACATAAACAAATGCGGGTTTTCCTTATTTTTGATTGCTCCAACCTCTAAGAATTAATTAAGCTAATAATCTCTCAAAAGTCTATTTTTCTCAAATAAGTGTTTGGGGCTTAATTAAGAGATGTATGAATTTTTTTAAAAACTATTGTGTAGACTCCTCTCCATTAAGTTTTCTAAATGACCCTTGTAGCGAGTTTTCAGCTGATGACTCTCAAATTAAATGACCATAGGGCACCGGTTTTTAGATACCATTGGATATTTAATCACCCGAGTCATAAATACTACAAAGAGAACTTTCACAGTAAGATAACATCACATATTCATTATTTTTTCTATATTTTTCCCTTTTTTTAATGATTTGTGCAGTGGTCATTTATAAACACTCATTTTAAAAAATCGACCACCAACTTAAGATTTCAACATAATTTTCATTTTATTAGCATTAGACAATCCTCACAAAACTTACCACACATGGAATCCACAGATATCTCAATGTCCCCCTATAACAGTTCAATCACCTTCAAACTATCTTAGAATTGATTCAAGGATGTATAATTTAGTGGTTATTTGGATTTAGCATCTAAGATCCATTAAATTAAACTTATTTCTATCTAAAGCACAATAAAGTAAGTTTTTGGTTCTAGCATGCAAGGACAATTTTTTTTTATTATCTTCATCATATTCCTCTCTATGTTTTGGAATAGGTTGATCGGGTTTTCATTCAATTTTAATAACCTTGGTAGGCACATAAGGATCATATTCAATGAATTCTCAAATATGATAATCTATTGATTGAATGTAAATCATCATTCTAACTTTCCAATAATTATAATGAGTGACATCAAAGAAGGGATGTTGATTTGTAGAATGTCCCTCGATTTTGAAGATTGTTGTGGTTAGTCATTGTTCGAGATCGTAGAATCTTAATTTAAAAATGAACACCTCGATATGATATCAATCGATAGCCCAAGAATAGCTAATCAAGAGGAGGGTGAATTGATTTTTAAAACTTTTTTGAGAAAATAATCTAAAATCAAGCATGCAATAACTAGATAGATTAATTCAAATAATAAGCACGAATACGAGCAATAAGTAAAGAGATGTAGATGATGTAAATGATATAATTATGGAGGTTCAATCCAACGCAATGATCTACATCATCTATTGCCAAGCTCTTTAGTACGAGCAAGGTCAATTTTATTATGTTGAATGACTTGTGGTGCAGTGCAACCCTTTACAAAACAAAAATTTTCTCTTAATAAATGATATGATGACAATTAAGTATTAAGAGAGAAATATGCTAACACTTTAATAGATAGCAATGAATGAAATTCAAGTGTTAGGTATGAAAGACTTTGATGTGTACAATGATTTTCAAAAATTAATTTGATTAAAAAAAATTCAAAACTAAAATGATTTGATAATAATAAATTAGTTGAGAAATCAATATAATTTTGATCAAAAACATCTCACTTGAATGCTCTTCAATGTTGTAATGAATTGCAAGTGAGTTAGTATTTATAGCACTTGAAAAACGTTAAAAACTCTATCGAATTGGACAATCATCGGGATGTCCAGCACTATTCCGGATGATTGATTTAGCTGTTGCTCATCAGAAGTCAGAACAGTCGAAAAATCGGCCGTTGAGCAGGATGTCCGGATGGGCTGAATTTGTTCGGCCCCTCTCGTTTGTTTGTTTGAAAAAATGTAGGCTTATAAATTACCTTTTTACTTGATTTTTCAAGATAAGTGATGCTAATTCGGCCCCTCTCGTTTGTTTGTTTGAAAAAATGTAAGCTTATAAATGACATTTTTACTTGATTTTTCAAAATAAGTGATGCTAGAAGGTTTGAAAATTAAATTGAGTTTCTTACGTTTGAAAAATAAATTTTGTACAAACTTTTTACGAAGTAGATTTTTTTCATGTATAAAAGTTTGTTACCTGAACTTCTAAAGAGTCATTTCTAAGGATTAAAGAATTTTACCTTTAAAAATGAGCTCAAACATCTAGTTCTAATATTTTCGATTGATTTGACGCAAGTGCTCGATTTGTTGCTTGATTTGTCTTTGATTGTAAATGCTCGATTCCATCTTGAATTTTCTTAATCATTAACTGCAAGTCTTTTAATAGCAATTGTTTTGTCTCTAGTTTGATCAATATGTAACAATAAAGACTCGAATACAAATGTTGGTGATAAAACTACTTTGTTTGTTATAATCAAAGTATATGATCAACCATAGGTCAACAACTTCGATATTTCAATCCTAAATTACAAGTGGATAAGAAAAATACAAAATTCTTAACAAATGGTATCATATCAATCCCATCGGTCCTCAACAAGTGGTGTCAGAGCCAGGCTCAGCAGTTCCACAAAGCGCAATGTTTGATTTGTTCAAGGTGTTTGTTTTTGATAGTTTCGATGAAGAATGACATTCCGCTTTTGGATCAGAGAACCAGATTCACGCAATGGAAGGTTAAGATGTGAGTAGTACTCGCACATATGGATTTGGATAATGCGTTGTTGGAAATTGACAAGATGCCCGCAACTTTGACCGTGGAGGAGAAATTAAAA